GATAGTGTTCCACATAGACTTTGGGTTTTTCTCGCTCTTGTTTATGGCGTCCAAGTAGAATTCTTTCTTACTATCTCTATTCATTTTTACAACATAGTTTCTCAGTTTTCGATAAACAGCCCAGTCCGAAAGGAAACCAGATTTTTTTGCTTCTAACTTAGCTGCGTCTCTGAGGTTCATCAAGTCACGAATTCTCTCCGTTAGCCATGGTGCCGGTTTTGCTTTGATCGTAAATTTCTTTAAAGGTGCGTAAATATCTACAATGTCCGTAAACAAATGGATGAAAGTATTTAGTGCTTCATTTGGGTCATCTGACAGTTCGACCAACCAAAACGGAATTAATTTCAGATCGCTAATGAATTTGTCTTTAGAAAAGTGTTTGTAACTACGTTTGTAAACCACTCTACCCGGTGATAATCAATCATGATAATCACGATCCCCTTGTTGTATCCTCCTACTCAGTATTTATCAAATTGTCAAAGTTAAACCCCAGCAAGTCTAGCGGTCCTGACAATATGCCGGTGTGGGTTTTGAAAGAGAACGCAGATGTATTGGCCTCGGCAGTTTCGGATATACTAAATAGTTCTTATCGTGAAGGAAAATTACCAACACCATGGAAAGAAGCTAATGTAGTTCCTGTGCCAAAACAAAAACCGGTACAAGACGTAAATAAACATTTAAGACCCATCTCGTTGACCCCAGTTTTATCAAAGATTGCAGAACAATATGTCGTTGAAAGGTACGTTAAACCAGCTGTTTTAAAAAATGTCGATCCACAGCAGTACGGAACTGTGCCTAATTCTAGCACGACCTTTGCACTAATCAACATGGTCCACACCTGGCTCCAATCATAGTTAATAGAGGAGAGGGTTTGGAAGCTGGGGGCGTGGCGAAATTATGTTATTGTTCTCTGTCACGTGACAATACGGGTGCATCAAAATCTATTTGTAATAGGAGATTGTATTACAGAGGAGGCTGTAGTGCTTGAAAAACGTCTTTTACAGAAAGGATATCCAAATATCAGTTGCAAATTGCTCCATACATGGTTGCGGGACTGGTAGAAAACACTTTGGTCTCAGTATTTTTTGAAATCCAACAAAACACGACGATTTATCAACGAAAATTCGCGAAGCGTTGGCGAGGCTTGTCACAAAGGACGCTGGATCGAGAGATAGATGCAAGTTTAAGAAATCAAATCGCTCAACAAACACTTCACGTTTGTGAAAGACACTTTGAAAAGACCCAGCCGAAACATGTAAGTTATTTTCTTTCTCTGGTAGAGGTATTGGTATTTCGGTATGAACGCTTGAAAGTTACAACTTTAGTAGAAGTACTGTATATATTTCATGTATCAAATTTGTATTATTAACCATATGGTCATAGAGCAGGAAAAATATATTAAATATTAATGATTTGCATAAAGGTGCGTTTCCGTCATTAGGTCATTTATATAATATAACATAATAACAGTTAATCCTTGTGTTCATAAAATGAAGGTACATGTATATTATTCAGGACACTGTCACTGAGGACAGTAGAAACATTTTCGTATACAGTAAACAAAGTATTATACAATATTCAAAGGCTATTTTAATAGCAAGAAACTGGCATAATAAAGTAACAGGATTTTTGTTTGGCCATGTCATAGTATAAATGAGTATATGAAAGCCCCATTTACAGTTATTATTATTATCACTCACTTCACTTAATAAATCTTGTTTGCTGTGAATTTTATTATAATTAGTATCTTAACAATACTTGTATAAATTAAGTCAACTTACTGTATATATAATCAGATATTTTATGTTCTGCTTTAGTTCCCACCTGCAAAAGGCTTGTAGCTGGTGCTATTCATACCTTTAATTTACTCCAGAAAAGCATACCTCTCTACATCGACAATTGGAGCCAGGTAACATTGCTGGTCGTCACACTGGTCAGAGGAGTAAATGGTATGGTGGATTAGAAAAGGCCTTGCCGTAACATAAAATGGAAGTAATCTAGTGAGAACTTTTGTGGGTTTTTTGTACCCAGAGCTGTCATTAAGGGCCTGTAGCTTGCCTACTTCTGTCTGAACAAAGTTCATATATTAAACAAAACTGTGAAGCAATAAACAAACCTTTTTACTTCCTCTAGTCAGAACATCAAAATTAAAACAAAAGATTAAATGATTTCAAACAGGTCGGGCTTTGATAGGATGTTTTTTAATCTTAAGAACTCTGTAAAATACCTTCCAAAATGTAGGGAATGTGTAAAATACCTTCCCAAATGCAGGGAATGGCATTTCCAATTGTTTAGATTTCAGGGTTAGGGGCATGCACCCAGACCCCTCTAGGAGTCTTGTGCCTTCAATGTTCAATCATTTTTCGGCCACCTACTTGTAAACTTAATGACAGCACTGCTTCAAAAGAGTAATATGCAATAATTTGTACATATGTTATAAAATAATTATTAAAACAGATTATAAATGAATAGGTGAACAATAAGACTAGAACAATATATTACCTTAGTTGAATAATTTGTAAAAATTTATACTAATATATACAGTAAATCACTATTACACAAAATTTTGTTTCACTTCAAATAGACAAGACATTGGTAGGCTCAACTTTGAGTTATCATGGTTTGAGAGACAACAACGGCTAGAATCAGAGCACACTGACGTAGTGAATAAGTACACTATTCACATCTGAAATTTACTGTCAACCAGTGGCATAGGAACTAGGGGGCCAAGGCCCCCCAAGTTTTCAGAAGATGCAAAAAGTGCCCTTTGAGTGTGGGCAGTTAAACAATGAAATGACCAGCCTGCTTGGCGTGCACTTTTTGGCTGAGAATCGGGCTTTTCAGAACCAGAAATCGGGCTGGAGCAGGACAAATGGCAAAATTTGAAACTTAACAGCCATACAGTTTACCAATATTTTCAAAACCCAAGGACGTACTGGCATTCTTTTGATACTGCAATGCTATTAGATTGCTCAATAATGTCATTCCACAAACTTTTTGCTAATGGAGGAGCTTGGACATTCTTAATAACTTTATCAATGTGTAAAGAAGTAGGTTTGCCTTAATTCTTGTGTGCTTTCTAAAGCACGATTCAGCAATTCTAGCAATATCATTAAGTCATGAATTTGGTACCCACAGGGCTGACGGCCCCTCCCCAGCAACATAAGCTGGGTGGTCCAAACTCTTCTGATTTCACTGATAATTACCAGCAGAATACAAACATTAAAAAATATTTCTGGGTATATAATCCTTTGCACATAGGTAAAATCTTCTGGCATCCAACAGTTGGTCTACAAAGCATTTTGAGAGGAATAAGAACTAAGTTTAATACCCTTAGGTCAATATTGTACTATACAGAGGAAATATCAAAATT